AGTGGTTTATAACAAACATTACATCAGATTTCCTTTGGATAAGAAAACTGTCAAAATCCGATTACGACAAAGGACTCTATTTGCAACATTAAACATTGCAATTAAAATTGGTTCTCGGATAAGAAATTTAGCATAGGAATTGACTTTTTTGCCATAAAGGAAAGGATGAACAAGAAAAACGCATGAGACAATGAATTTGAGGAATGTAAAATTGGTTGAATGATTCATGACATTGTTACAATTTGTGTGATTGATTTGTACATTGGTTTATTTTATCATTTTATTTTATTTGGAGCTTCGCGATATTCGAAATTCGCGACAGATGATGTGTCTCCATCTCTCCCGATTTGAGGCCAGATTAACTATTAATGTAGTCTATATGGCCAAGGCTAAGGTACTATTTCAATGATTTTTCTCTTTGGAGCTCTTCTCTTGAGGAAAATGATAATGAATACCATACAGCACAATCTTAAGATGGTGATCCTCCATCCTGGAAATGTATCCAGCCGAGGATCCAACCAACTGCATTGTCAGTAGTATGGCCTCAATATTGGTCACCCTTATCTGTTCGAGGACAATAGTTAGATGTTTAGGACTGTACGGAGACAGTACTGTGGAAACGTCTGACGAATCGTAGGTAGTAGCGGTAGATGACCTATGAAAACAAATAGTATGAGGCTTTACAAACACTAATGTTTGTATTTTTCTTCATGTTTATTGCACTAGACTCTATTATGGAGCTTTCCGGAAGCTGTATGTCTTTGCTAGCCTATTTTCCATCTCTTCAATCTTATTGTCCGAGGAAATGATGTTTCACAGATAATTGAACTGTTAGACTGACTGAGCTCTAATTTACCTATGGCGATTTGGAGGTGATGGAGGACTTCCCAAATACAGGTTGGTAGAGAACTTCTACTGTAGAAGCTTTGGGCGCATCTGTGAATCCGTACATTGCTTTCAGAGCCTCATAGAATCTACGCATGGTTAAATCTTTTCTGTCAGGTTGACCCACCACTTGTTTTATATGTCTGAAGTTTTTGTTGAAGCTTTCTGCAAAGCGAAAAGCTATTTTTCTTCAGAGCAAGGTGGCTGAGCGAGGTGTGCTTGGTGAGTAGTTTTCTTCTTTGTCAATAATTTATGGATCTCTTGATTATTTTCGTCAGACCGCTCCTTGTTTTTCATGGAGGAGAATCCCAAAGATTCGCAAAAGATTATGGGATTATGAAATAGAATCCCCTATGAAAAATAGAAGGATTATGAAATAGAATCCCCAAAAGATTATGAAATAGAATCCCCTGAGAGAGGTTTTAATATGTTGCCAAAGCGCTTCCGCAGAGGAATCTGTGGAGTGATCTTGAAGTTTGGTTTGAAGATTTATTTGGAAGCTATTTCTAACTGAAGGTGTTTGGAGATTAACTTTGAGCCTTCTTCATGGGATCTTACCTCTCTCAGGTTTGGATTTAAAGCGGAGGTTGAGTTTAAATCGCACAAAGCGATGGCCTGTTTAACATTCTGGCTAGACATCACATGAGCGTGACAAACGTCGTGAACGTTTCTCTAAAAATATAAGACACTCAAATCTAGGCATCGCACTAAAACACAATCAATGAGATGCCAGTGCTTGAATCGAGGATGCATACAGGTTGTCTTCAAACTGTCTCTCTGCCAAAAGATAGTATTCGTGATAGTGAGTTGCTGCTCTGCAAAAAACTTCAACAGAAGCCATCCTATCGTTGCAGTTTCCAATACCATGCTTGCCTAATACCTTTTCAGGCATCGGAGTTCTTTCAATTCTCAGTATAGAATCTTTTTCCATAGGATCAGCTTACAGAGTTAAAATATACACGCTGGAGAGAACTTGTTGCTTGTTGTGTAGTAAGAATCGTATGAAAATAATGCGATCGGAATGAACTGTCGGGAAATTTTTAAATTTGGAGGCGATGTAGTTTGAAGTGAAACTATGAAGCGAACTCCTGAAAGGTGGCTTTCGATTTCGGTTCACCTGACCAATAGTAGAGTACTACTATTAATAGGCAACATATTGTTTGTGGCTGCCGTCTTCATGGAGACGAATCCCACTGAGAGCAGCAATATCGATGTTGAGTCGTGATAGTTCGTGGAAATTAGAGCTGAACGACGCGCAGGCGTCCACTATTCGCATTATCAAGTGTGGTTCTGATATTTCAAATGCGAATGTCAATCTGAACATACCTTTGGAGGCAGGTGTATGTCTTTGTTTTTTGTCGTTGTTCAACTACATCAGAAAGAGGCTGTTTGGTCATTCAAGGCGTATCTAAACAAAACTGTCATCTCCGAGGCTAAGTTGTCTCCATGTAGACTGGGTCTGCAGCTTTCAGTCCATCTTATCGCCTGTCGTTTTGTTTCTCACCTGTTGATATAGGGATTTACAAAAATGGATGTATCCGTCGAGTACGCCCAGAGGATTTTTTTTAGATTAGGCATAGTGTGGGCGGAACTGGCCCCATCCATCCCTTACTTCTAAGGTTCATCTTCTAGGGCCTAGCGAGCTTGGTGGTGACAGGAAGTCCTCAGGGAGTTTGTCTTTTGTTAGACCAATAAGCCAATCCTGCTCGTGGGTGCACTTTGTTTGACCCTTTCAGTTGAGACCTGTCTGGCATGGGAATCCTACGGAGGCAGATGCCACCACCAGCATAGCTTGCAACCTCGTAAGAGCACACAAGCTTCTGCCCTGCGACAAAGGTATCCTGTATAGAATGAGGAATTTATTTGATTATTTGGTTATTTATGTGAATACAAGGGTGTGGATTTAGCTAACAATACAAAGATGGGAAATAAATCTAAGGAATGTAGAATGAGGAATTTATTTATGTGAATACAAAGGTGTGAATTCAGCTAACAATACAAAGATGGGAAATAAATCTGAGGAATGTGGAATTAGTAATGAGGAATTTATTTGATTATTTGTTTGTTTGGAATTTAGTTGGAGTTTCGCGAATTCCGAATTCGCGACATCCTGAGAGAAGGCATAGGACATAAAACTATTTCAAAAGAATATAATATTTTCAAAAATACTACACTTTTCTCGCTTTACTTCAATATTAACTATGTTTCAAATTAAATTCCCTCTGCGACTACCTCATGTTGCCACATCACTTGTCACTTATTTATCTATAAGATATATAGTCAGATTTTTGTTGCGTTGTCATTCAATTTATTTTTAACAGTTTCTTCTTTTATAGCATCAAATTCACTTTCTTCCTTGAAGTTCATTCAGATAAGTCGAAGCAATCAAAAAAAGGATGTAAATTTAATTTACATTTAAACTTGGTTTTCTTATTATAGGTACAGCCTTGATAACGATGACTTCTTACCATTCTTCATCAACTCAACAACAGGATGTATAGGAAGACTGGAAGTACTGGATCGCGAATCTCAATCGGAGTGGATCCTGAAGGTAGCAGCTCATGATAATGGGAAATTTGTAGAACATTCAAGTACTGCATTAATACAGATTCGAGTTCTGGATCAGAATGATAATATACCTATCATCCTGAATGAACAACTTGATGTCTTCATCCCAAACAGTGTTGAAAAAGGTATCTTGAAATGGTTTTTATTAATTTATAATTAAACAGTCATTACGAGAAATATTGCGATTTTCAAATAAATTTAATAAAGAAATGATGGATTGATGTAACAATTCTACTCAAATCACCATTACCTTGGACTGATCAGCAGCAGAATCAGTCCAGTTATCCGGGTCCCGACATAGGACAAAAAATTTTTGTAATACTGTTCAGAAATTTTTAAATGTACCGATGCAAAAACAGTATTTGATTAGGGTAAGAGAAAAAAGAAGAGAAAAGAAATTTAAGGAAAAGATAGAGTATTGCTATTTCTGGACCCACCAATGCTTCAATTTGAGATTTTGGAAACTTGTTGCAGAAATTCTAAATCGAAACTGGAGTCTGAGGTTTATAAAATAATGTTGTCCTCTGAGACAAATCATTTCATCATTTTAGATGATGTAGTATACGTATTATCGGCACATGACCCGGATGAAAATGATGCCCTATACTACAATATTAGTGGTCCGGATGTGTCATATTTCCAAATCAACCAAAGTGGTGTCATCACTGCTACACGAAAACTCCTCAAACAAGATTATTCAATCACTGCAATAGTTTATGATAATGGAAACTTAAACTCTTCCGTTGTATTGGCGTTTTACGTGTCGGAAGCCATGAGATTTCCTGTTTTTGAGGTAGTCTGTTAGTTTCACGAGATGTTCACGAAAATTCTTATCCGGTGTAAACCATGAATCTTTCTTGTGTGCTTATCTTTTTCTCTGGTTTGCCTTTGCTTTGCGCATTGCTTCAGCATTTTTTGGGAATTATAACAAATTCAGCATACTCCATTTATTCATCAAGGTTTATTCACTCATATTAAAGCGTCGCGGAATTCTGATAGTCTCTTCCATGAGTTTCTCATTTTGAAAGATGATTTATTGTTTATTATTAAAGTTTATGTGAATTTTATTATTTTAAACTCGACTTTATTGCTTTCACCTATTTCTATAAATTTCCAGAAGCGCTCACAGCGGGAATTCCTAGTTGTAGAACATGATCCAGATATGCTGGTAACAAAATTTGTCGCTCAGTCGGTTAATGCATCCAGTCGGGGAATATTATTTTCTATTTTTAGTGGTGACCCCCATCGTCATTTTTATCTTAATCCTAATTCTGGAGAATTGTATACAACGTATGCCTTTTGGATTTACAGATTATTCCTAAATAAGGCTATTTTTTACTCCATTGAACAAGTTTTAACTCTTAAAAAACAGTTCCCAATTTTTTTGTTCACATAGTTAATCAAGATAGCTATGAATTTATGACTGGGACCAAATCATTTTTTATGTACCGTATTTATAAATTGATGTTCGGTGGACAAATTTATTTTAAAAACACCTTTGAATGAAGTTTAAGGAGTCGAGTAGATCATGAATATCGAAAGCAGTACGAATTGTGGATTGCTGCTATTGACCAACATGCTCAACCGATGGTTTCATATGCAAACTGTATTGTGAATGTTGTGGACATCAATGACAATAAGCCTTTCTTTGAGAAGGTTTTCACTTATCTCATTTTTATTTGAAACCAGGGAATAGACAAATACTGCTTCCCATGAATATGTTGTAGACATGGATCATGCAAGAGTCTATGATCACTTCTCTTTTTGTACAAGCATTTACTTTCGAATTTGAAGAAAAACGGAAGAGAAGTTTTTTTTTCAGGCTTTTTATTCTGCTTCAGTAGCAGAAAACGGTGATAGCAATGAATTTATAATAAAAGTTACCGCTCGAGATTCTGATACCGGAATGAATGGGGAAATTTCATATAGTTTGATGACAAGTGCTTCGGATGGATGGAAACACTTCAAAATCAATAAAGAATCGGGAGAAATTTTTACTGTTTCTGGTTTGGATGCCGAATATTTAAGGGAATATCATTTACATGTTATTGCAAAAGATCATGGTAATCCACAATTGTCAGAGGCGGTGGTTGTGAAGGTTTTACTTAATTTTATGAATTTGCAGATTAAATGAATAGATGGTCAGTTAATTAATTTAGTGGTCGGTTGACTGTCCGATTGACCATCTCTGACCACAGTTTATAATCCGATTCCGTGGCATTTTACAGCAACTGTTTTGCTGTTTATTAAATTGATCAAGTTTTTCAAATACTTTTTTCAAAATCGATCATAATGATTCAGTCTAAATTATGACTCATGCCTTCTGCATAGATTGTCATTCTAAATCACTAATCATTTTATGCTATCATATTCTTAGCAGTAATTAAATGAGTAAAATACAAACAAGTGCTGAACGATTGAATAAATATTTAGCATTAATTGGCTTTAATTTCTATTATTAGATTGAAGTACTGGATAAGAACGACAACCCGCCGCGTTTTTCAAATTTATTTCACGGTATAATTGCAGAAAACAGTCCTTTGGGGACACCAGTACTTCAGGTGAAGGTATTTAATCATATTTACTGCAACCCTGTTTATTTGACATTCACATTATCATCGAAAATCTATTATTCAGGTAACAATTTATGATGCTGATGTGAATAGTACTCTTATTTATGGTTTGGAAGGTAACTATGCTGATAACTTCTTGATTGATCAACAAACTGGTTGGATTAGTCTGGCAAAAGAAGTTGATCGAGAAGAAGTATGAAACAGAACATTTTCCTTTTGTTTGTAGTAAGTATAAAAAATATTGGTGCCTCCCTAAACAGAATCATCGGGTGAGTAAGATATTGAACAAAGAAGAAAAACGTGCTTATTATCACAGTTAAGGCATCGGTTGAAAATTTTCCGCTTTGTTGTGAGACACTGAAATTTCGAAATATTTTACAGAGAAATGAATACTCGATAAAAGTGAAAGCGTGGGATGGCCTATGGGAAGTACGGACATCACTAACTATCACTATACAAGACATTAATGATAATGCTCCTACGTTCAACGATTCATTTTATAAATTTTTGGTTGCAGCCGATTTAGTAAGATATGCAAAATTGAAACTTTTCTTATACCAATTCTTACTTAAACTATAACAGAGCCTATGAAGGATATATAAAATTAAAAATAAAATTTGTGACTGATTTCGGAACTTCATATCGATAAAGACTTTTATAAATTCAAAAAAGAACGTCTTCATTCCAAAAGTTTGCAGGAAATCTTTGCTGAGATTGGGCGAATTTTGGCATTTGATGAGGATGATGGATTAAATGGACAAGTTCGCTACGATTTACGATGCGACAGTGATTTGTTTATGATTGAGCCGTCTAGCGGACGCATTTTTCCAATAACTGCCTTAGAGCAATACGTAAATAATACCGTGGAATGTAAAGGTTTTGCTAGTGATCAGGGATTTCCATCAATGAACAGTGATGTAAGTGATGTCATTTTTCTTGTTTGAAATGATCGAATGATTAACTGAGAATGAACTGTTCCAGGTCAATCTCTATATTTACATCATCGAATCTGCTGAAAGCAACGAAACAAAGCAGCCTTACTACGAGTTTGCCCTTCCTCCCGATACTGACCCCGATACAGCAATTGGTCATTTGCCGTTGCATAATGTTAGTTGATTTCCCAAATTTTCCATATCTAAAGAAAATTTTAATATTCTATTGAAGGGATTTCGCTTTAGATTTCTCCACTATTTATTCAGTTCCGGATTCTATTGTTCCTTTTCCGAATTTTATTACTCCTTTAATAAGCTATTTACTTTTAAAAACTTAAGACAATTGCCGTAGTGAATGATAGCCGATTTATGGTGGATCAGGATGGGTATCTGTTCACAAACGCTACATTTCCGGAAGCTATATTGGGACACAAGATTATCTTCTCTGTTGCAACTAATAATAAGAACGATCCTATGAAGACTATCATTTCCATTGAATTTATTAAGCCAAACATTAACCGCCCACAGTTTTCATTTAAAAGGTAATTATTAGAAGTTATTCTCATCAACGTTTTCTTATCGCAACGATGGCTGAGGGTTAATTCTGCTTCTTTGCTTCGTTTTTTCCTTTCGATTTCCTTAATTCTCTTTACTTGTCATAATTGGATAATGAAACCTTAAAATTGGGTAATTAGACTTTTACTCCGATAAGTTGCTTAATGTAGCATCGAAATCATCAAGTACAATATCAATAAGGCAAATTCAATGACGATATCAATAAAAAAAGAAGTGACACCCAATATTCCGATCAACAAACCCATTTCAAACACATTTTTAAAGTAATTCTGCTGCTCAGGATCCTTCGCGTTCTCGAGTGGTAGGACCCTATTACGATTCCAAGATTACTAGATTTAGCGCCTTTGTTAGCGCGCACGTAAAACGATGAATGCACACCTATTTAAATTCTGCAATAAATCGTATCTACAATGCAGCAATGTCAATTTTCAACAAAGGGGGTTACTGATCCTTTGTTTCCATTCACGATTTCAGCGTTAATTTCTAACAATCAACTCTTCTGTGAGGCTTGTGGGACTTTTCCACATTCCGATTATTAACGGGTAGCGCAGTGATATTATATAAATGAGTTGGTGGTCTGTTTTCAAGTAATTATATGTCAATAACAACTTTTTCTTGTGAATGATATGCATTGGCTGCACGACTTATCACGATTAGAAGTTACAGCAATTAAATCCGATTCTTTATTCCTAAACATTGAAATTATAACACTGATAAGGGTCTGAACCGATCAAGTTATTTCAGATACAACATTTCGATTCAAGAAAACTGCCGTTTGCACACAGCGATTGGTATGGTCATGGCGAAAGATCCTGACATAGGTCTTAACGGTCTTTTAACTTATCATATAATTTATGATACTGACCGTTTACCGTTTACAATTGAGCCAACAACAGGTTTTATTTCCAACTTGTTTATGATTTTCAGTTGATGTTCTACTTAATCTAATTAACACCAAATTAATAGTGACAAAAGTAGTGTCCAAGATACATTCTTGAAGCATATGAAATTGTCTTCCAACTGCGTAGGGTCAACTCTAGATTTTATATGTTAGAATTAATGCTTAGAGATTATATCCAAAAGATTATATCCATGGGAAGGTTTAGGAATTATATTGACAACAGGATACGTGGATTTCGAGGAAATCAGTAGTTACCACTTTTTAATAATGGCAATAGATTCCGGTTTCCCTGCGCTCAACGATACAGCAGAAGTCACTATTGAAGTGCTGGATGAAAACGATAATGTGCCCGAATTTGAAAATCATTATGTGCAGTATACGGTACTTCTATATTTCCTATACATTATTTGATGTCCAATCACTCAATAATGCCATTCTTTAACGTTGCTTTTCTTTAGAAAATCGTGAATTGTCTTGAGTATTATCGTGGTTCATAGCACATTCTGCTTGGTTGTGCGAATAGTTTATAATCAGCAATCGTTTCAGGTATCGGCAAATTCGCCGGTAGGTACTGCAATTGCGCATCTTTCTGCTTTTGACATAGATTCAGAGCCAAACGCTCTTATCGTTTACCACCTGCTTTCGGATTCTGTTGGAGAATTACCTTTTGCTATAAATGATACTACTGGCACATTATATGTGTCCTCTCAATTTCGTTATGAAACAGCTAGTGAATATGTATTCCGCGTACTGGCCAGTAATCCCAGAACCGCAAGTCTGGAATATTCAAAATTGGCCCCAGAAAGTTCACGAAATGGAACATATTCTGGTGTTCTGCAAGTTGAAATTTTCGTGAAGCAAGATGGCGAATCTGAGTTATATTTTCCAGAAACAGAACGGAACTTCGAGATTAGCGCTTCGGTTCTGAAAGGTATCTGAATATGTGAAGGAAACTTGGAACAAGACTACTAGAACTATAATGGTACAGATCGTTGGAACTGGCCAACTTTCGCGAAATGCAGATTTTAAAAAATACAAGCAACTATTTGTTTAAACCAAGATTGTATTAATAATGAAACACAGTTGTCATTCTTATTGTAGTGAAGCGATTGCAGCGGGGAACAGAATTTAAATTTATTTTGCATCATAAAATCACCAAATTGTGAAGATAACTCTAAATGAGTTAGCAAATTTTGTTTAGGCACCATAATTGGCAGAGTGGAAGCGATTCATCTGAAAGGAAATCATTACAATAGAATTTTATATCGTATGGCTTCAAATAATCTGGTTGCTATAAATGATCGTACAGGAGAAATATATGTGAAGGAAACTTGGAACGGGACTACTGGAATTATAATGTTGCAGGTCGTTGCAACTGGCCAACTTTCGCGAAATGCAGATTTTAAACCAAATGTGTTAGTTGCTGGAAATTTTCAAGGAAATTACTCGGATCATCATTTAAATCCTACAAATGATCCGTTTGATTTCATTTCAGTTTTTAAATATTCCGTTTTGGGTTTTCTGCACAATCCATTATAGTTGTAAAGTGTACATCGAACGAAAGGATGCGGAAGCACTGCCAATATTACTGCCTCACTACGAATTTTCATTATCCGAGGATACTGATAGCTCAGAAAGTTTCGTTATTTTTGATCATCTCCCACGAAAATGTCGCCTTGATATTATTGAAGAAGGAATTGGATATAATATTGAACAGGTAACTTTCGTGCTCCATTATTATTTTGTCAGTGCAAGATTCAAAATCAGATTTATTGTTTAAAATATGGATTATTAATAGGATATTTTAAAATAATTGATAGTATGCAGAAAATAAACTTTGTTAAAACTTGCTTGAAAACTGATAACGGGAGGGAAATGAAAGTTTTTGCAGCCCTTCTGCATTGTTGATCCCGGTAACATTCATTTATGCGGTCCAGTGGATTATAAAAAAAAAGCTGATTATCGTTTTCAAATTGCCCTTATCGAGAATGGTGTCATACGTTCTCGATCCTTAGTTACGATAACAGTGAATGATGTGAATGATAATGAACCTTCATTGGATTCTGCGGCTTCTATCGGCTATATTTTGGAGAATTCACCGATACGTACAACAATAATGAAGGTACATATGGCCGACAGTGATATTTTGGAAAAACAACCGTCGTTCAAGTACCGAATTGCTGACAGAGATCTATCTCAGGTTATTGATAGACGTAATATGTTTATTAATATTTTGAATCATGGTGAAGTTTTCAGTCTTTCTAGATAGGTTCATTAAAAGCTGTTGTTTTTATGCCTAAAAAAGAAATAATTAGAAGAGTAATAATGTCGTAAAACAACCATCAGGAAATATGGTACGCTTGTTAAATTTGATGGGGATACTCCTATCTTGCAAATGTTCTATATTCAACATAGATTGAAGATCAATTTCATTGCCGCTGCAATTTGTAATGGAATTATTTTTTATATGATCTTAATGCAAAAAGTTCCAATGAGTGAAAGAGGTGCCATGAATTAATGTTGCAGTAAAATGACAATTTTGGCTCATTTGTAGGATTTTCCTTAATTTATATTACAGTTGAGGATTTGTTTACAGATATTTTTAATCAATGATACCACTGGCATAATGTCTAGCTCTGATGTTCTGGATCGTGAAAAACGTTCGCTTTATGTTGTACCGATAACTGTCAGTGCTCTGGACGTCGTCCCTCCACTTCACGCAACTTTTCATTTACGAATCTACGTTGATGATCAGGATGATAATGCACCAGAACCAGTGCCACGAACAATAAATTTGGGATATTTGGGCGAAATTCCGGATATGATTATCCTGCATACATTTCCAGTTGATGCAGACCAAGTTGGCGTATACAGTTGCCGACTGTCCCATATTTCACAAGATTTTAATGTACGTTCTAGAAATATTTCCAGTAAGCAAAAATCCATAAAAATTAAAAGTCATCTGATAACATCTGATAAGAGTGTTTACAGATATCAAGCAGTTGCGTGTTGAAACTGCCAGCAAGTTTGCTAAAAGCAGAGTACTTTCTCAGTACTCCATTATTGGTGGAAGCTTCCAACCGTAATACAAATGTAACATTTCCAATACATTTACGAATGCGGCGAGATATCGCTCCAAGATCGTTACTCAGTGATTTCGGTGTAATTGTAGAATTATGGGGTGCTGAAGGGAGTATAGCTGATAGTTTTTCTGCATTCGAAGATGCATTTCCGGATACGGTGAGATATAGCTAACAAAATGTTTCAAAGCACTTAAGAGAGCATTTTGCATACTTTTTATAATCAGATTTCTTCTATCAACATTTGGTTTGTTATTTTTCGAGCAGTAACTTTTTTCGTTTTTCCTTTCAGTTTTATTAAACTCTACTAATTAATTTCCTCGATTGTCTTCTGCATTTTTTGCTTTATTTTGCATGGTATCTTAGGATTTAAAAGGTAATAATAGTAGACTGCTACATTACCTTGGGAAATATAGTAGATTGCTCAATATGCAGATTATCCCGCTCTTTATAGATGCTCCAACTTCTCGGTCTGCAACATTTAGAAGTTGATTTTTTCCGTGTTTTCGTAGCAGTTCTGGATCAAGATTTGGTACCAACAAGCAAAGACAATGCTTTGAAATTGTTGCAAGAATTTTTCGCTGAGAAGTTGATTTCTAAGAACGTGCATCTCAAACAACTTGCATTGGACATATGTACTCTTACTCCTGAACAATGCGTGTACGGTAGCAAATGTTCCCAGAATATAACAAAGAATGGAGAATTATTCGAAATGATTGGCTATAAAACAAGTTTTATTGTTCCAGTTGTTATTAACCATATAAAGTTAGTTTTCCCCTCATTAATTATAAATAGAATTATAACTGCATTTTTATAGAGTCTTTGAATATTAAGAAAAGTTCTTTATAACTATTTTGAGATATGAATAAAACCATATTGATTTCAAAAGTTTTTGAAGTTAATCGGATGGTTAATTTTGAAGAACAGGTATATGACATCCAGCATATCTGATGTCTATTCCTATCCTCATCACTTAGAATCTTCAGCGCATATGTATTCCTTTGTTCATCAAAGTATCATCCTAATTTTACATCATAGCTGCATATGCGAGAATGATGTGGTATGTAATGGTAATGAAAATCAAGTTTGTGAGGGAAATGGAAAATGCCGAAATGGTGGTACTTGTCAGGCACGTACAGGAACATGTCTATGTATTAACGGTTATACCGGAAAATTCTGCGAGAATGATATCGATGAATGTGAGGATAAGGTAAATCTTTTTTCACTTGTCTCATAGTTTACTATTTTCTAATTAAATTATTGATTCTATTTACTTCAAAACCATTCCAATAATGAATCAAAAAAAGCGAAACAAATTGTGGTACGATTACATTATTGAACAATGCTCTCCGTGATTATCACTAGAAGTGCCAACAAATCTTTCAGTAACTTCCATGGGTATAATATGCTTTAAAATGAACTAAAAAATAATTTTCTGACAACATGTTTGGTGTATTTCTTGAGTCCTCAGAGATTCCCGCAATCGTAACGCCTTTTGCCTTTTATGAATCGAATGAGATTAAACTGCAGAATATTTGTGGGAATGGAAAGTGTTTAAATGTATTTGGTTCGTTTGTTTGCGCATGTGATGACAATGCTGCAAAGAGTCCGATATACTGTAAAAATTCCGATAACAACATTTGTGATCGTTGTCACAGGTTTTGTCATCCTTGAATTAATGCAGCAATTTACCGTAGACATTTCGCAATAAAAATGAGATGGTCGATTAATTCAAATAAGTATCCTTTTTTTTTTCTGAGATTTGCGATTTTGCAGTATTTAACGACTATATTGTCAGGTTGGAGCTATTTTCGGTGTAACGGTAGTCAGTTCTACCCATCAGTTTGAATTCTAACATCTTACCTTTAACCTTGTGCAGATGATTTTATATGAATTGTATAAAATAACCTTTTGCAGGGGAACGTGCGTTAAACAGGATAATGGACAACGTTTATGCGAATGTGATGATGGTTATAGTGGGCGCTATTGTCATTTAAAAATTCGTTGTTTCGATGGTTTCTCATCATTATTGCAATTCCCACTTCATCAAGAAATTTTTATGTTGACACAAGAATTCAGGACTCTGAATCCGGTGGAATTTCTCTCCAGTAGATTGAAAGCTTACTATTCACACTATCGTCCATAAAAATAATACAAATATTACAGACATTTCGCCACCCTACACTTTTTTTACACTTTAGTTACATTTCAGTCCGGCTTATTGTTGAGTTCTTACCCAGTAGCCGAATTCAGAGAGCCTGATTTCACATTGGCACTACGAAATGGCCAGATACATCTAAGTGGCAATTCAAGCCAGAAGAATGAATTATTGGTGGAAGAGAAAGTAAATGATGGAAAGTGGAGAATGATTCGTTTCCGATACAAACATCGAAGGGTGAAGTTGACAGTTGAGCACTGCGACGAAGATGGTTTCTGTGAACCATGCAAAAGTTCTCGCTGTGTTGCTGCAGCAAATAATTTCGAGTCTGTATTAAATTTCGTTTTCTAATAAACTTAAAATTTGCTACATCATTTTGTAGGGAATGAGTTTGATGAAAAAAGGGATAGTTTTTATTGCTATTTCTGAACTTTTAAAGGTTCGATGATTTCTTCTATCTTATTCCCTAACATTCAGGGAGGTTGAAATTGATTGGAAAATTAGTCGTTAGATTTCTAGTGATTAAGCATTTCTGATTAACGTGAGCTTCCGCTACATTTTATAATGGTCAGCAATTTTTAGCATTCTAACAACCGTTGGAGAGCAAATTGTGTATATTGGTGGAGTGAAAAATTCCGTTACTTCCGCTATTACTGCTGAACAGGTTCATCTTTTAGTGCAGCTAAAAAGCTGTATTTCATAAAGGCTACTGTTGCTAAGACTTTCCAATGTTTCATGAAAGGAAAATCGGAATAAATATTATGAGTAATTTCAGAGCTTTTGAAATGCTCCCTTACCTCTCCTATATATAATAATTGTAACACAGTTCTAAGAAAAATTCCAGAGCTAATGTATGAGATATATAAAATTTGCGCTTCAAATCATGTACCTATAGATTCATGTGTTCCAGAGCAGTACTGCCAATTTTGAGGGTTGTATGCGTCAAATTATAATTAACGAGCATGAAATTGATAATGTTCTCGGTTTCCTGGAGCAAAATGTAATTGACAAAGATAACTGGAAAACATGTGTAGATGATGGTGACATCGATATGTGTTCTGGTGGTGTTTGTATCACTGACGAGAACGATAGGAAATGCATCTGTGCAGATGGTTTCGATGCGTTGGATTGTCATAAGGGTTAATTATTAAATAATAACATACACGGTCAGAGAACTCCCTTCAAAATGTCGCATTTTATATGTTTTGTAAAGTTAAAAGTGGCAAATTTTTAGCAGTAGAGCCATGGCATGTTAAAAGTGGTGAAATCGTTTTCCAATTATCCATGTACATGATAGAGAAAATTGAGCTTGCAAAGTGCAACACCTCTACGCAAATATCATCTGAAGAGCATAGGCACAGTGTCATCGATGATGAGAAAGAGCAATTGCGGGAGATCCCGTGTGAAGAATCAGAAATGTAAGCTTCTCAATGCTATTTTTTCAAAATACCGAAAGAGTTGCAATATTGTAAATGACATCATCTTTTGCGAGATCTCGGAACGAGAATTTCAAGACTTTAGAATCAACAATTGGAAAAGTAAGTTGACTAAAGAAGATTGTCGATAATGGTTTCCAATACTGATGATGTTTAACATGAGTGCATAACGGAGAGATTCATTATAATCTTTTGCTTTGACTTATCTGCAATGTTTCTTACTAAAATCATTGATAAGTTTTTTCTTTCTTTTTTTTTAGAGAAAGCGACATACTGGATGACATCCCTGCACAGTGGATGGAACTTGACTTCAAGACTGCCCTCAAGAATACCATCATTTTTGCTATAGTTGAAGAGATGAGATACAGCAAAATTGAGGTGAAGAAATTTGGTAAAACTATAGTAAGGTATTGAGGTTTTAGCGGGTTAAAGTCTATAATTTTTCGAAATTTGGAAAACTTTTTGGAAAAACTGACATTCAAATTCAATAATGGTAAATTACTTCAGCTCATTAACGGATCAGCTTACATGATTACGAAGATGCGGGGCGCACAGTCAATAAAAGTACACATTGCAAGCAATCTTGATGATACTGAGTGGCATCGTCTTAGCTTACAGATAAGCGAGGATCAGAAAGTTTTCAGAATCGAGGTTATTTGGATTTTTTTTGAAAGGCAGTCAATTTTCGTGACTACACCACTTACTATTAGAGCAAGTCAGCATTGGTACAACCTAGATTGACTTTTTATGTTTTCTTAAAATTATCAAAAATCTTTACCGCAGAATCTTTGTCACAGCGGTCGGATATTTGTATTTACACTGGTCCATTTTTTAAATTAATGTTTTCTTGAATTTTGCTTGAATTTCGAAATTTCAGATCGATGGATATGGGAAAGAAATTCGATCTGAGGAGCAACTACCGACTCTAATTTCGAGTTCCTTGTTGTCTTTGTCTTTGGGTCACAATACTGCAGATTACGCAGCTGCTTTTAGCGGGTGCTTCAGGCGATTTATTGTAAACAATCAGGCACAAAGCCTTGATGTATTGGGAGGAAATTTACTATCACAACAAGTATGCAGCCTTTCTTATGGTTCTACAGACAAAATAAAATATTTATGTGGTAACGACGAAGTGATAATGATATTATGATACGGCACATCGCACAAAAAGCATTTCTTTTTTAGGATAAAAATTCCATTCATGATTTGTTGAAATGAGAGATGTTACACTGTTGCATTGAATGGGAACGGAATTCTTGAGTGCATATTCGATCATCAGATTTTGCAGATTTTCAAAAGTGTCGGACACAGAGGAGCTCATAAAGGTTGTGATGAGTTTTTGATGAAACAAACATCGATTTCACTGGAATGGAAAATAGTCTGGGCGCTAATCGCCATTATATGCATCATGTTTTTCATCTCAGTATTTGCTGTTGTTTTATGGATTGTACGGAGACAATTTCCCGCTGACCGCATTATGGGAAAGCGACGAAATTGTTGGAAGCCGAAACTTTCGAGATTCCTCCCGGTGATAAGGTCAAATTCAAGGACGACACATATCGATGGTCACAGTGATGTGACGGTACAGCGAGCTGTGTACTGTGGACCAAACGTTTTGCAAAATAAGAGTGAGGTGAATTATCAAACAAATGATACTGCAGTACCTCACTTCTTATTGATTCCAACTGATTTGAAATCATTTTGAATTAAAGAAGCGAATCTTTGCTAATTATATCGACAAGTGTGAAACTTAGGAAATTTCAGCTTGCGTTCTGGGTGAGAATCTTTTTTCAGACTCAAAAGTTTTGTTCAGAAGTAATGGTGATAGCTAGCAGTTGTTCGCTATTGTTGGTATTTTAATACCCACTTTGATCCATTTATCATTTTATGGGTCCCTTCGGTTTTACAATTTTCTAAATTCAAGCATTCTCAAGGTTCCTCTCTACACGACTTGGATGCTAGCATGTTCCACAGTTGTAGGGAGAGTGTCATTCATCACAATCTGAAGTTGCTAGTAAGATACTGATTGGATGGATGACCGATGTATTTAACATGAAACCGATCATCTGTCGAAGACCATCCTCATTACTTAATTAGGTTTTAATTGGATTTGAAGATAGCAGTTGAAACGAAAAATTAATGGCTCACGCAGAAACTAGAAATTTAATTATTGTTTAAAAGATCTGCTCTCCAGTTATTTCCTTGAGAAAGTGTAGGATTTTATGAAAAGTGTAGGATTCAAATTCCATCCTTTCATTTGTAATTGGGATTTTTTTCCAGCTAAGTCGCAACAAGTCCAATACAGTGGAAAGCACATATTCCGGTTCATCGAATACCAGGCAACTAAAAGCGGATTTGCGTGAAAGTCATGTGTCCACATTCAATCCGACACAACGGCATTCATCTTCTGAGTGTAACATGCGGATGACTAAAGTAGCTACGCTCTTTCCAAATTAAAAGTGTATTTTTGCATTATTCTTATATGAAATGCAACTTTTCTACAGGGGTCAGATCGACGTAGGCGAGTATGTCCACGCAAAATACAGGTGACAGAAGAAAAAAGCCAGGAGGGATATCGCCAATCGCAGTCCAATGATTACAATGATATTACATATGAAAAGCCCTTTGCACAAAGGTTATATTTCAATTTCTTAACAACATGAACAACAGTGTTCTCTAAACACTGGTTTAGAAATCTGCACCCATTGCTACTGTACATATCAGCAACTAATCCTGAATGATTCCAGTCTAAATTTCAAGACTTCCAGTTTTTCCAGACCTCTGCATCTCCTGAGCACATCAAATCTTCATTCTCTGCCAACTGGCGTGGAAAGAAAGAATTCCAATGTAAGTATTCGCAATTATACTGTAAATTAGAAGATATCCTTGAATTTCTATTTATCCATGCAAACAAAAAGATGGAATCCTTTTCTAGAACAGTGAGACAAATTCAGCAAGGGCACCTCAGATAATGCACAGTTTTGTACCATTTCGTCCGTCTTGCACAGAATTTGTTGATTTCGAAGAATCATTCACTGATGATCTTGAACATTTCAGAAAATTCACATGAAACTTGCTCAATTTCCAAGTTTTCTGTAGAAAGAGGAAATTTTTTCGACACTGTAAAAAGTTTGAATTATGCTGTACGAATTTCCAATCAATAAACCTTAAAGATCTGACGACCAATAATTTGATCAATACGAAGGTAAGGGAATAAGCATCAAAAAAGCCATAACAGAAAAAATTAAAGACGAAATAATAAAAACTTATGAAAAAGTCATTTTTATAACCGCGTTGCAATGCAGTTATAAAAAACTGATATGTTACAAATTTCCGGTATCCTTTCATCACTTCCGATACTTAATTAATTGCTACGAAGATGTACAGAGTCAGCGTCATATGGATTGCAAAGTGTAACGTAATATTATAAACAATCAAAACCTGAGTTTTGTTTATAAAATATATAGTCGATTATGAACATGGGTAAACTATGCCGAAGTGAGGTTAAAATGCAAAAAGCAACGACGAGTACAAGTTATGAAAGTAAAAAAAATTAAGGAAGAATAAAGATGTGAAGCAATCAGTTATTTGGCATAACAAAGGAAAAAGTCACAACCCGTAATTTTGGACTGATTCAAAAAATAAAATAATATTGAAATCTTCTGTAGGATTTCATTTTATAGAAAATAGAATTTTACAGCATCTAAATGAGAGAATGCAATCTCGAAAAAACAATGTAAAGGAAAATCCCTTTTCCACAGCTATAAGTGTTGATTCTACGCAGTTTAGAAAAAAATTTCGAAGTAAAATTTAACTATGGATATCGGAAAATCACAAGGTGTTTGTCACAAGAACTGATAAAAAATTACCTTCGCCAGTAACAATCAAAGCTCGAACTGCCAAATCCTTCGCTCTGAGAATCAGTCTTTTCTTCATATGCTGTTCCGTAAATGAATAAATACGTTTAACACTGTCATTTGTGTAGTAGACCAGATAACGCACTCCTGACTCTGCCTCCACAACGCCAGTATCCTCGTCATATAAAATCCGACACATTTTTCCACGTGGTTTGTGTGTAATTAAGGGGTGGACAATCATCAGCAATTTTGTTATGGAGTCGAGTGAACTTTCCATGATTCGTTTGACTAAGAATTCATGACGCAACTGCTGTAAAGAAAGAATAAACATAATTATGCTAGAGAAAATATGTGTTTGCAACATATGTTCATAGGCAGCATTTGATGGGAGTGCCTAAAAGGACAATGTTGATACAAATATAGTGCATTCATGTTCGCATATATCTGAGAATGAGAAACATAGATTCTCAACGTCCTCCGAGGATGGTCATACACAATAAAGTATGACCATAAATAATCGAGCAGCTACGATTACATGCGCAGTGGGAAATACCAACAACATTGCCATACGAAATTCGAACGTGAAATTAAGACTTTGGAAAGTAAATGGGATATACCGCAACAATAAAAACTTACAACGCGGATAACGCGTACATTATTCCCTTTTATCCTTTGTAGTTCTGGAAATTCTTTTTCCGTAAAACCCAAATTTATCTTTTTAAGAGGCAAAAAAAATGTTTGAATATTTTCACCTCCTGAAAATACATGCATTTATCCTTTTTTGAAAAAAGACCAGAAAGTATGATGCTGATAAGGAAAGATTAGTTTAGCCATTCCCTCCCATCTTTCTACCACTCCCATTTTCCTTTTTATTTTTTTTGTTAGAGTTGGAATCTAACTAACGATAGATAACGAAAAACTGAAATCAAAATTCACAAGAACTAAAAAACCAGTATCAGAAACATTTACCATCACACATGATTCCAGAATTAGTATGAGGAATTTTGAACAGATGACCAACTTCATGCATAACAGCACCCAAATAACATGCGATGATACCACCCTTTGTATGCTGCAGTGTATATCTATCACCCTAAATACTTTCATATTTCATTAATAAGCAGTCGGAATCTTGAAAAAGAAACTTACGAAATAATGGTAAGTCCTCAAAAAGAAAAAGGAAAAGTGAATAAATCTTGCATGATTCTTTAAGAGTGTTAAGGGCAAATATCCAGAAAATTGCTTAGCAAGTACTGATTGAAATTGCATCTAAATACAAACAAATCGACTGAAATCAAAATGAAGAACTAACATGCCAACTCATCACACGCCAACAGTGACGAGTCGGCAAAACATTTGCACGACTCATATCCCGTAAAGAACGATGCACGTGGGATGCAACTGCAGGCATGCAGTAGAAGGCAGCAGATTTGATGACGCTCAAGTCAAGTATCGTTTCGATTTTATCCTAAAAACGGTAGTCACAATCTGATCCCTTATACTAAAATGATTTGCCCTAACTCTGCTTCTGCCAGTGCAGCAGAATCAAGTAAGTCCGTCAAGTAAGAATCAAGTAAATCAAGTAAGAAGCTATGTCTTCTTAACAATAAGAGATAAAACAAATCTGCATACACAACAGTTGTCTACTTGAATCCTGATCAAAACATCAGGTCACAAATAAGAGGAAAAACTGTTTGAAATAAGCAGAAAATCTTGAACCTTTTCTGTTGTTCCATCAGACTTTTTCGGGGAAAGGAGGAAAACCAAATGAAGCAACTTGTTGGAATCCAACTGACCGAGAAGAGAAAGACGCCTACGAATATACTTTGCAAGATGGCGTTCATGAGCTAATTCAACAGCTGTTTTATCTAATTGCAAAAGTGCTACAGCTGGTGTCATTTCCGTGAACTGTGGCTCTACAACATACTGAAGTTTTATAGAAAAATCTACAAATTTATTTCGGGAGATTTTTTTTTTGAAAAAAATTTGAAAAATCTACAAGCCGTTTCTTGGATAATTACATTTCAATGCCTGAACCAAATTGGTGTTTCTTAAGACAACCTGAAGAGTTATTGTAAGATTCCAACATCTAACCATCAATATATAAAACTCCAAAAGCAAATTGCAAATAGCATAAAGTATTTAAAAGATGAATCAAACCAAACATGGACAAAATAAAAACATTCCTTCTATGAAACAAGACTAATTCAACTTTTCTCATACACTGAAAATTTTGTTTATTCCAAAATCTCTTTACTTCTTTGAAATATGCGTCATTAGCTATAAAACAGTCAATCATTGCTGATATGCATTAAGTCTGAACTATCTTGGTTCTCTAAATTTTTTGCATTAAAAAAAAAAATGAGAGACAGCTTACCAGACATTGACACATAAGTCCCTGATATCAAGGTTCGGTCTTCTATCGGAACTTCTGTAAATTTCATCCGATGTTCAAAAATTCAAAAATCAAGTTAGAGGCTGTAAATATTTTCTATCTTTTACCAATAAGATGCAAGCGAAGAAAGCTCTTTAAAGAAATAAAACATTCCATTAGCATTGAAGCGAAAAAATATATAATTACACGCCATGTACTTGTAGTATTTCTATATAATAATCCTTTTAATACACAACAGAAGCTTACTATAAGTTGTAATTATGCTGTAGCACATGATATCCATATAATTTCTAGTACTTTGCAAGTTCATGAAATCAAAAGCTGACAACATACCTGCTAACTGCTTTGTCCAGCAGTCATCTAAAAAGGGGACATAGGAACGTAGATCATTTGTGCTGTCACTGTCGAAATTGCTCAGCTCAACAGTAATGAATGTTTGAACCATTAATCCAATCAATCCAGCACGTTGCAAACATACCTGGCTATAAAGAAAATTTTTAAAACTGCAAATTAGTTTTTGCATTCGACGATTGGATTCCCAGAATTTTTTGAGCATAAAAGTGATTACTGCACCCTAATTTTACTCACTCAGATTTCCACAGTATTTTAGCACTAACGGGAATAAACCAACGAGGCGAAAGTGACGGAGTATTCCTCTCCGTTTGTCTGAGTCGGCAACTCTCAAAAAAGAACTTTTCTAGTTTGTTATTCTTGCTTTACATTTCTAACGGCTCCCTCAGTATTTTAAATCTATTTCAAAAACTCAACTAATTAACAGACCTACCTGTACCACTCTTTTTTGTCCAAGGGATATGCGACATATAAGCGTATCCTCATAGTATCTGGTGGCACTGGCTGTGGAGTATACTCCAGAACAACGTCGCCATAAGTCACACTTCCTCCTTTTCGAGGAAAGTTGTGAATCAACGAGGCAGTAAATATACCCTGGAAAAATCCGTTCAATTAAATGCAATTCCGACCGCTGGTTGATTAAATACTTGCAAGCATTATTTTTCTAACACAGAGTTATATCTTGCTTTAAGATGAAGGAAATCATTAAGATAGTTTATGTCGGAAAGAAAATAACCAGGATAAACAACAAAGTCCCATTCAAGCAGAGCGGTGATAGAATCGCAAGGGCTGAATCCAATGATTGCTGAAGGGCGCAGCGTATCCGTGAAAGTCCAAATATTCACAACAAAAACCACTGCCTTTTGCAGTCGCTTAAATCTTGTTAGTTCGAAATGACAAAAGTCTAACCGACAGAATAAATAGTCTAATAGATATCTAAAAAGAACTGAAAACTTTTGCTACCATCGTGAACAAGACGGTCTACACGAAAATGAAGAGCCGAAGTGATTATAAATACAAAGTTATCTGTTTTAAAATTAGAAATTAAAAGTGAAGAGATTAGCACAATCTTCCTGCAGAATTTTTTCTACACAAACCAGTTTATAATTCTGAATCCAGAAAAAAAACACTTACTTTCTCAAAAGCCGTTGATGACATGACACTCACGTTAAAGGCCATTTCAGCTTCAGCTTTCTCCATTTTTTTTTTACATTCAGCGTAGATGGACCTACTGCTGATATCCATTACCATCAACTGCGGAGAGTAGATTTTTCGGTTACATGAAGGCTTACTCTCAATTGCTTCAAAGTCATGCATTTCGAAGCCAATAAGGAGAGTCACAAATAAATAAAGTACAACTGTCAGTTGTATGGCACAACCAATATCCAGCCACTTTGACAGACGACAATTATTGCAAACAAGCAACAGCACAAACCTAAAAAACTATTAGAAATAAAAGTTTAAATTCTTCTTCAGTATGCACAATGAACGTTATATCTGAAATGAATGTTTATAACATTAGTGGGAAAGGCAAGTCCGCTTATTCTAATAGAGAGAGCAGTGTCCAGAAAAACTATATACTGTGGGAGTTGCAACTTCTTCACTGGTTCACAACTAGCAAAATTCTTCTACCGAAAATTTTTACATAGAACAAACAATACAATAACACAAAGAAGTGAAAAGACTTCTAAATACTGATTTTGAACCTTTTAAATACTAATTCTGAATACTGATACAATGCCATACTATCTGATCTCATGTACTACTTTAGATCAGATTTATATTATAACTCGCCATACTATAATTTGAAAAGCAAACAACAGTGTTCAGTTAGTTAATAATAAGTGTTAAGTAAAATGTAACTGAAGATATGTAATCAAATGAATTAATTCATGCTGCATTGAATCCAGGTTCCAACAGAAAGAGCCAACAGGACATCATTAAGCGACAAAAATGTTCGTCATTTCAATATGCAGCGCAAAGCAATAACAGCAAATAAAATGAACTAACTCCCTTCACCCTGACCTCTGACCGCCTAATCGTACCCCTCCTTTTATCGCTCCATCTACACCGCCTAAGGTAGGAAAGAAAAGCAAGGTCACTATGAAAATTAGGTTTCCAAATTAGTGGCGGAAATTTCGATTGGTAGTAGAGGGAATGCAACATTACAGTACTTCAACTATCGATATTTAATGAGCTCAAGCAAAGTGATATAAGGGATTTCTTGCTTCTGTGTGAATTTACAATGAGATTAAACTTGGAAGCATTTGTGAAAATTAGTTTCCTCTCTTTATTTTTAGAGACTAAAAGGACGTAGAAATGTTGTCATTGAAATCGATCTTTGATTAATGACTTCTTAAGAGTGATGTGTAATAGGAAGGAAGAGTGGGAATTTGGATGAGTAGTTGATTTAAGTTTAATTCTCCACATACTTGTTGCTTTTCTGCTCTCTCCTTTCCTTCATTCTCATCCTTCACTTCATCTCCAACATCAACACCGACCTTTCCTTCGTTTTTTTTTCTTTCTGAGCTTCAATGTTCTATATGAGGTAGTTGAATGTGATTTAAATCATTTTAATTTGGCGATTTAACAGTTGGCAGATATAATCTCCAGAACAGAAGAGATGGATGTAACATGAAAGTTCTCTCTTCATACCAGGTAATAGCATGTCAGTCTGGTTCGCATATCGAAGAAAAACTGTATTGGATGTCGTTTAAATTCTGTCTAAACTTCGTAATGCTTAACATTAAAGCTTTAATGTCCTATATGAGGTAGTAATGATGTCACCAATCATTTATTCAAGCAATGTCATTTTGGGGTCCGGTCAGTGTTTCAAACGGTCAACTTATAACGTAATGTGCAAGGATATGAGAAATAGAATAGTGACGACTACAATACATCTCGGTTTCGTAGTGTTATAGACAGGATGACTGGCAAGCGTTTCTAAGGAAAGTGCATAGGTAACGGAACCTCACTTTATATACGTCAACCTCAACCTCACAGACAGCTTGCTGTCGCTATTTGCAATTACAGTCTCTGTGGAAAGCATTGAGTATTCTCCATGTCATCCGACCATAATGAATCGTTATTAGAAGATTAATTACAAGCTTATGAAGAGTGCAACAGATCTGTGGATACACAAATTTAAAGATAGAAGACGATTAATCAGGTTTTTAAAGAGATATATCTCTCATTCATCAAAGAACATTTAAGTGGACGTAAATGGAGGCTGAGACATTAAGTAGTCGGTAACATTTAAAGTGTTAAAAAATCGATCCGAAACTCGCTTACCTTTTGAAATATTGTCTCATGCTGCTGTAATATGCGCAGCACGTGAATGAAATTGATGGCTGATGGAAAGTATTTGAAGATTCATGAGAGCGGTGATAGTGTTGTTGGCGTTTTTATCTAGTGTGGCAAGTTTCCGGAGTCAGTCAGTTGCAGTACGCGGTCGATTAATGTGCGGCTCGAGTCCGGCTTCCAATGTACGCGTAAAACTTTGGGAAGAAGATGGCGGTGAGTACTTCAGTTTTTGAGGTTCTTGTGAGATAGACACTGCAAAACATATAATTTGACATGAATGTTCTAGCTTAATTACATTTCTAGATTATAACACAAAAATTACGTACCCTTTTAGGACCGGATCCAGATGATTTACTTGATCAGGGTTACACGGATCAAAATGGTGATTTTTTGCTTAAAGGAGACACTGTTGAATTGACACCAATTGATCCCGTCTTCAAGGTGTATCATGACTGTGACGATGGGCTCAAGGTATGTCATAATTCGTCAATTGTCCTTAGTTCAAATTTTCTATTTCGAAAGATTTCATGAGTGAATAAATGTATGCAATGGTATATTTTCTAAGACTAATCGCAATCCAATTACATGCATTATTTTCCTTGACTTTTAGAACATTTCATGTTTTATATTTTTAGAGGATGCCGGAGAAGTAAAATTTATTAGTAAAATTTTTCCTTTTATAATAATCTGATCCGTAGCTTCTGTTTCTAAATTCGAAGATTCTTTAGCCTGGCAAAAGAAAGGTAAAATTCAAGATACCAAAATCATACATTACCAATGGAAAAACACCGAAGAAAGTTTTCGATATTGGTACTTTGAATTTGGAAACGATATTTCATGTAAGTTTAGTATGAAAAAATATTGTCGAATCGGACATTTATTTGGCTTTTCATCTTCAATTTTTTTTATTTTCCATCTTTCATCTTGTCGTTTGAAATCGATTTGCAATTTTAGCTACCGCTTTTGACATTAATAGGAAAACTATGGTTTTCTGCGACAGCTAAACAGCGGAGCAGAACAATCTTCAAAAGAATATAGATTGATTATAAGAAATAAACTCTTACAAATTCCTGCTCTTTCAGAATCGCTTACTCCTTGCCTCATTTTTTCCTCTTTTACGTGCATTCAATCTAAAAATTTATTTATCGATTGTGTCTTAAAAAGGGAGTTATTTAACAACTATCATTAGAAGGTTTTATGAAGAAGTAATATTACTAATTTCTGGATGTCTTTTTCGAGAAAGATATAAAGAAAAAAAGAGTCTGTTTTTACTAGATAAGTTTTTGCTACTCTTCGGAAGAATTTACTTCCTGTGCAATCAAGGAGTAAATTGAATGGCAATATGTTGGGAGAAGCAACTGCCAAACGAGAACAGAGAACTTTTGATAAGACTGATTCTTTTCGATGAGTGGATGGAAGCTTTCATAAAAACGCAGATTTTTCCCTTATATGCCCAGTTAAACGAATACTATTAAAAAGTTTGGATAAAATACTTGGCAGAACTACTCCAGAAAGTATCTTTATCAGACTGTCACGATCACCCATAAAAATTTTCTGATGGTTTACGTGTATGCATTTTTCATTGTTTCTTATGACTTTTTCAAGATCCATTATGAATTTCTGACTTTTCAACTTGTTTTAATTAATTTGTTTTGCAGCACGAAGAACGCGAAATAATTGTATCGTAATGGCATATTTGATATACACCGGCAAGAAAGGTGGAAGGTATACAGCAAAAAATAAATAGCTCATGTTCAGTGTAGTAGTAAATGTGTAAATAAAAGAGATGTTTTCTAAAGTGACCATTTGCAATTTTTTCATTTACTAACGAGATGATGTCAATCTTCTAATTTTATTGTTGAATTAATTTGTAGAAGAGGATAACGAGATTCCAACCCTTACTGTAGTGCAGTACATCCATTTGTATCATTAATTAATGTTTAAGAATAATGTCATAACAAGTGATTAATTTGACCTATACTTTCCCACTTTTCTTTTTTGGTAATGGTTTTCCTGTTATGAGATTTATCAGTAAAAAAAAATCATTCTAATGTTGTAGAATTCAAGTTAGGACATGTTAGATTAAGATATTTCGATCTTTTAAACGATCATGATATCGATTATGAAGTAGGCTCATGAACCTGAGTACGCTCTAGCAACATTTCCAGCCTTTCCCTTTCTCTATAGTACTTTTTTTTTTTGATTCAGTAATGATCTTTGTTTGCAAAATCTTCCGGTTGGTATTTATGTAATATTAAGGAAATTTCTAATTTAATTGTCCTTTTGTAGCTTCTTGCATTTCGTTTATTCTAAATGAACACATAGAGACTTGCATTTATACTTTTTCCTACTTATCGTATAAACTTTATTTTTTTTCATCTGGACGAACAGATTTTATAAGATGAACTAAAATGCTACAATTACAAGGAGGATTATTAGCGTCGTTCAGGTTTTATTTTACTGACAAATTGATAACGTCATGAATTACTACTTATTTTTTCAGCTTAATACAACCCATAGAAATCGTGGTAATGTCAATGATAGTTCATTGTTGCCTGATGCTTTATTTCAGAATAGTTAGTCATAACAGATTATCCTGTACCTTTGTCGGCGAAGCCGGGCAAATGTTGTCAGTTGTTTTAATTAGAATTTAAAATATTTCTCAGATAAATGACTAGTTACACAAAATCAATAAAACAAATATATCGATGCCTAAAGTGATGAATTAATGAATCATTCATCCAAATCCAACTCTTTCAATTTTCAAACCATTCTTAATTGCAATGGTTAAACGTTTCACAGAAAGCTTTTGTTGTAAACTTTTTCCAATCTGTTAATCAAACTTACATGCAATTGTGGAATGTTATAAAGAATTTATACGCAAATGTCGAAATTTTGTAAAGAGCCTTTAGTCTGGTAATTAAAGGAATGTATCTGGAATGTTAAACCATTCCTATTATAAAAGAAGTTAGGATTAGTCATCCTGGTACAGTCGGTTATCAAATCAAAAAGTTTGAGCAGTCACTCGATCCGACAGCTCCCACAATCATTCAGTCCAACAACTCGTTCAACTAGTTAATCGGGCAGCTCGCGCG